GTGCTGGGCTGAAGGGTTCTAGGGAACACCTGTAGTGGCTGCAGGGTGCTGGGCCAAAGTCAGAGCAGCTCATGCACTCATACACTAACCCAGGTACGTGCTGGCCACGGCACCCGTCTGCCCCTGGGCACCAGAGGCCACTCAGCACCTGCCTCTTCACTTCTCTTTTCTGTTGTACTCCTGATCAAAATGTTCCCAGACACAGCAGAGTAAGGTGATAACACAAATGGAAAAACAACAGGGAGTATGAAATGATGAAAATCTGAACTATTTACTTCTAGATATCTTAAATACAAACCAAATTAAGTTCTCCCTAAAGACTTGTCAGTTTGCTTACCTGCCAAAAACAACCTCCAAAAAACCAGTAAGTGTACAGGAATTTATACACATGCACACAACTATTGCAAACCTACCTGACAGACCTCAGTAAAAACACAGGATATAACACAGCTTTCATTTCCCCCTATAATCCCCTAGTATGATATTTTTGTTGTCCTTTGGACCCAAGGCCTAATACTGAGCTCTCTTCCGTTCAAGATGATCATTTGATATCAAGACCAAGCCAATTTTACTGGCCACATCTCAACAAAAAAGCCTCACAGCAGAAAGAAATGGAGATAAAACCCCAGAGAATTCTTCTTTTTCAGCCTTAGGATGACACACAGCACGTCTGCTTGAAAGACACCTGCCTATGAAGCACAGGTCACTTCTACATTACCTAACACTCAGGTTTGGACTCGGGTTTCCTTTTTCTGCAATGCCTCCCCAGTTGCAAACTTTCCTCCACTCCTTTAGCTCAGCTACTCCAGTGAGTATATTCATTAAAATGAGTGAAAAATTTATTCCAGGGTCAAAAATTCCGTGGCAACCGAGTTTCACAGTGATGTAGAGCAGAGCTTTGTCCCTACTATGAAAAAAAGCTTCAAAATAACTTAGTGCTCCCCATGCTTGCATGCCTTAAAGAATCCACGGGAAAAAATTCATGAGCTGCTCATAATCATATCCAGAGAGACAGACCAACACTTCACAAAGGATTTGACTTTAACCCTGCATGGACAGGACAGGATTCCCAGACATGGGGTCTGAAATGGTGCTTCATGGCAGATCAAAGGAGTGGCCAAAATGCCACATGGGTATGTCTCAGACAGCTAGGAATGCTAACAAAGAAACCCTGCAGCCCAGACCAACTCATGTTCCTGTGGTCTTTATGAAGGCAGTTAAGAAATGGGGTTTGTATTAGCTGTCTAAGATTTGGTGCCTGACAAGCTGGTACCCTGCTAGAAACCAAAACCAACCCTGTTTTTTGGGAAATCCACGTACCTTGTTCTTTCAGCTTGGGCAGCAGTTTGTCCAGCACAACCATTTTGCCACTGTTGGTGACCAGATGCATGTCTGTTGTGTAAGGAGGCCCGGGCTCTGCTCCATCAAACAGATAGGGGTGGTTGCAGCACTTCCTCAGCTGCATGAGGATGTTCAGCAGTCTCATCTTGTCCAGCTTGCCAGCAGAGTTCAGGATATCTATGTCCTTCATCAAGATTCGTGTGTACCTAGGGCAAAGAAAGGAAAAGCTTTTGTAACTCTGAAACAAAGCTGGTCTTTCTTTAAAGGACAGGTGTAGCCCAAAGGCCACCCTGCCTCTTACTCCACCAGCTAACTCCCCCCATATGCCCGGGTTTCCATCCCAAAGTGCCTCAAGGAAAGGTGCAGGAGTTGGGAGCGTATCTGGAGGAGCAACATCAGCTTCCACCCAACGATCAGGTCACCAGCCACACTCCAGTCACGTTCCTCCTGAGCCTGAGCAGCAGCACAGTCCCAGCCGAGCTCGTCACTTACCATTCTCGCTGCATTTTGCTGAGCCCCACGTAGATTTTGACCTCCTTCTTGGGAGGCAAACTCTTCTCCACGTCAGCCTTGATGCGGCGCAGCAGGAAGGGCCGCAGCACCTGCAAGAGATTCCTGTCAAACCTGTCTGGAGGCTGAGCCAGGAGCAGCTCCAGGGGCAGGAGAGCAGGGATCTGCCACCCCTGCTCCAGCACCAAACCTGCCACCAGGCTGCCTGGAAGTCAGTCTCTGTGACAGCTTGTGAGATGGGGGAATATGTGTGTGCTGTCTCTGGGAAACTCAAAGGCAAAATTATCTTTCAGGTGGTTCTATGTCCTTTTAATTGGCTGACTGAAATATTTAGTCTCTTCAAAGAAAATACTGTCAATAGAATATTAGAATAATAGAATGCTGAAATCAAGAACTATTAACCCTGCCCTCCCCTCCAAAGCAATTTCCTTTTCAAGACAACCTTCTGTGCTTCACCAAGCTAGTCTGGAAGTCCACCACAGCTCCTGGCACAAGCTCTCTTACCCTAAGCTTCTGTCACAGACACACTAGAAGAACTATTTAGAACCTAACTCAGGTAAAGGTAACACACAAAAGCAGGGGCACTTACCATATGGAGACGCTCCACCAACTTTTGATCTCCTAGACAGTTGTTTGTATCAAACCAGGAATCAAAGTCCTGTATCAACAAAATCACTGCTATGTAAGAGGTTCCTTTTCAAGATGCAGTGTCATTACAATGGTGAATAAACAGAGCTCAAGTGATTCTCTGACACAGCAAAAGAACAAATTACACTCTTTGGTCTATTTTTATGGAAAACTCTATAACACAACGTCTTCCAAAAAAAAAAAGACAAGACCTCCCTCTGTACCACTGGAAGGAAACAAAACCCATAAAATCAATATGTGAGTTCTTTCTGTTGAAACAGATTCACTCACATCACTCCACTGGACAAATTCCATCTGGAAGAAACACACTGCTGCAGCATTTGATGAAAAATAAAAGGAAAAGGCACAACTGTGGTGTAATGCACCACACGGCTTCGCCTTCCACGGACCTTACACTCCCAACTCATCAAAAC